AATTGCCAAATGTAGCTCTCAAACAGAGCATAAGGGATTTCAGTTGTGCTGGAATTTATTTTCAAGGAGGTACAGTGTCTTTTAATGGGTAGTAATGTACGGTGGTTCAATGTTGTTTGTCTATGTGGTTTTTTATATGATTAAAATATTTAATATGACAAACCATGTGCAAAATCAACACCATTACTGAGTATTTTCTCCTTAAAACTGCTGTGGAAAAAGAACCCAACTCTGCTCAAGAGAACCCAGCTTATCCCTGTATACTTTTCTGCTGATATGAAAAATCGGATACATTTATCAATTTAGCGGGTGAATTATGATGTTACAATGTTAAGCACAGGTGTAGAGTTACATTAAAGGTGCAATGTGTAATATTTCTGAGGATCTATTGACAGAAATGCAATATAAGATCCATAACTATGTGTTCAGTGGTGTATAAAGACCTTACTCAATGAACCGTTATGTTTTTATTACCTTAGAATGAGACATTTATATCTACATAGCCGCGGGCACCCCCTTCTATGAAGGTCGACATATTGTGACGTCATGTTTCTACCGTAGCCGAATGCGAACAAACAGCGCTACAGAGCGCGTTTTGTTCATACCTTGAAAGAGAAGCCGCAGAAAGCTAGAAGCTAGCCATAGACACCGTGAGTAGTGACTTTTCCCTTGTCAGTGGTGTAAAATATGTAGTTGGATTGTTTCATGTAACTTAGTTCTTCTCCCTCGCTGTGTTATGGCTTTGACAATCAGCTGATTAGTACTATTGACCGTAAAACAGTATGTTACAGGAATCACCAACCCGTCGATCGCGGTCGACAAGTCGATCGCGAAGAGTTTTCAAAACCAGAGAAAAAAACAATATTTTTATAACAGCTCATATTAGCCAGCTAAACTTTTACTACCCTCTTAGAAAAAATATGTAGTTGGATAGTTTCATGTGGTTCTTCTCCCTCGCTGTATTATGGGTTTGCTATGTGGGGAGAAATGTGCTGGTTACATTTGTGAGACAATCAGCTGATTACTATTATTATATTATATATTAAGACCCTTGATCCTCACCTTACTATGGCTTTGTAAACTTTATCCATGATGTGGTTTATAATGGACTGTGGTACAGAAACTTGGCTTACTCTGGCTGTTCTCTGCTGTCTCAGATGACAATTTGTTTGGCCCGTTTTAGCAACCGTAGCTTCTTCGAAAGGGAGGGGTGAGCAATGGGCTGAGCCCTTAGTGCAACTCGCAACCGAACCGCTAGATGCCGCTAAAATCTACACACTGCACCTTTAAGTCTATAGTGAATGTTTTATGATCAGTACCATATTCATCGCACAGTCACAAGGAGTCGATGCACAACCAAAACAGTGCTGTTCACTAATTGCGTGGATGATTTCGTATTTGTACGCACAGAAGAACTTCTCATGAAACATCTCCGCATAATTCACAACAAGTTCGTATGCACATAAAGGTGTTCTTAACATCCTTCTGATGTAAGTGAATTTGGAGTATTCTGAGCGGCGCGTCCACGAGATTAGTCATTTGCATAAAACACTCCCAAACATCACCATATAAGGGCTTTCCTCAGCTCTCTCACCAAACTTACCGCTGTTTGCAGACGCGGCCTCGCCCGATCCTCAAGCGATGCCATAGCCAAGTGTGCCATTCTGACCAGTTCTCACAATAAAAACCTTTTATCTTAGCCTCATTTCTCATTAGCTAACTGTACATACGCGTAAATCCTCGTTATTCAGAGAAACCTTGCAGCTGATCTAATGGAATGTAGGCCTATTTAAAATTAAATTAAAGGTGCTCTAAGCGATGTCAAGCGTTTTTTAGGCCAAAATATTTTTTGTCACATACAGCAAACATCTCCTCACTAACCGCTGGCTGCCTGTCCCCTGAACACACTGTAAAGAAACGCGATCTCTGTAGACAGCCCATGCTCCACAAACTGCGACAAAAACAAACTGGGCTAACCCGCTCCACGAAACATGACAAACAGTTCCAGCCAATCACCGACAAGAAGGACTTGGGGGCGGGGTTTGGGGGGTTAGTGCGCGCATGAGGAGGAGGGAGGGTCTAGCTAGCCTCCGTTTTGTTTGACAATACATCAACAAGAAGTGACGTCACCCGACATCGCTTAGAGAACCTTTAAGCATTTTATTATATAATTTAATTTTATATATGGATTATATATAATATATTTCACGAGTTCACACTTACAAATCAGTTGGATAGATTAAATTGGTAAACGTATTTGGCGTGCTGTCCAGGGAGAGGGCTCTGATCTTGGTAATTGGAACATTCTTCAGTATAATAGAGTTGTGTTAGGATGAAATATAAGTTCTTAACAAAATTATAAGGCCATACAGATGCCGCGTCCAAATAGCCTACCCACACTTGCGGTCTTGGCCACTTGAGAGCGCCTGCACATGACATGATATATAAGTGCGCAAGACTGTCATGTCTTAAAAATGCCAAAGTAGGCCTACAGCACACTAAACCCACACTATCTTGAAAACCGCTGCAGAGCGGTATTCGAGGCTAAGCGTATTCATCATGCATTATGTTAGGGAACTCGCGTGCCCCGAAAGTGCGAGATGTCAAGGACAATATTCCTAATTTGATATTACATATAATTTGGAAGTAAAACATAAAGTGTTGTACAAAATACACATTGCGTAGGCCTACTTATCTGTGCACAAATAAAATGTGCATCATTTGCAACTGCTTTTTATCAATTAGGCATTAAGCACCACAGCTTTAAAATTGTGGTTTCTGTTAGTTATAGCGACTACTTAACTGAAGTTTATTTTAAAATGCAAAGGCCTATTTTAAAAAAAAAAAAGCTCTGTAAACTTGCATTTTTATGCAACACTATGTGAGTCCCATCCGGTATTCAGTTCTGCACGTGCACTTACAGTCTTCACGCCTACTTGAACACTTGGGACAAATACAGGAAGTACGTCATGTAAGTTGACAGGTGGTCAAGTGGAAAAACCGCAAGTGTATGTAATTGGACAGGGCAAAAGTAGAAGTAGAAGTACTTTTTGCATACGTGTTGTTTCAGTTTTTAACTGTATTTTTTTCGTAAATTTAGTAGAATTTAATAGATTTCATTACGAAATGTTTAGTGAATCTTGATTTGTTCTTAAAATTGTTCGTATGCACACAAGAATGTTCTTCCGCAAAATGCATGCAGTTTGGGTTTTTTTACCCACTCGTGGGCCAAAAGTTACATAGTGTACCTTTAAAGAAAGCTTCTGAATTGATTTCTGTTTTGATATTTGGTATTCATTATTCTCACTTATTTTAATGACTTTGCTGATTCATCACTGACTTAAGATCATAATAGGCAGGCTATATTGTTAGCAGGCCTTGTGTGTTACTTTTTTGTAGATACATTTCTGAATGGTTAAAGATGATCAAATACAGCTAAATCACTGAAAACAGATATATTTAATAATATGTGAGGTTGCAGCTTTTATAACTGTTTGGTTTCAGGATGTCCCAGTATTTCTCTCTAAACCTCAGCAATAAATGCGTTTTATTGGCTCTGCTGCCATCTAGTGGAGGAAAGCAAGAGCTACCCTGATTTATAGCGAATGGGTGCTTAATGTCAAATAAATAACTCATATATATATATATATATACACACACACACACGAGTTATTTATTTGACATTAAGCATCCATTCGCTATAAATCAGGGTAACTCTTGCTTTTATTGCTATACTTTTATTGCTATACATATGTATAGGATATTATATATATATGTTTATGTACTACTGTAGTTGCCAAAAGTGATGTCTGGAGGGTTAATTTGTTTTTAATGACCCTACAAGTTTTATTAAATATTCTAAATATAAGGGAAAAACAAAACACTAAACTTGGTCAAGGTATTTTTCTGACAAATTAATTGGCAAAAAAGGGGGCAAACTACATGTGTTCTTTTACTATGCAAAAAATTCACAGAAAAAAAACAAAAGCTCACATGAAAAAGCATACATTGATTGTAAACAATATTTCACTGGTTCTCTCTGGTTTTTGTATGTGTTCATAATTGCTTTGCATGACAGCCTGTACAAAAATGTTGATTGCAAATAAAACAATTAAATCTAGCACAACTGCGCAATATGCTAACACAATCTTTAACCCAATTTTAATAAAATTTGAATAAAGGGTGAAGATGCCAATTTTCCAATTAAGGCTGGACAATTTTGGCCACTACTGTACACGAATAAACAAGATGAGACTGCAGACATTAGTGGATCAAATCAGAGCAAGCATGGAATTTTTAAGTCACATTGAAATCAAAATTGAAAAATCTTGTTCTTTTTTAAGGAATATTGCAGTATTTATTATAAATGATTTATCTGTGCACATCATATTTATTTCAAATGAATATGTCCTCGTAACCTTTAATCACAACGGGGAAGAAAATACTATCACAACATTGTTGTTTATTGGTTTATTTAATCACTTTACACATTAATACTACATGGTAAAAAATGTACAATGGGACAGATTTTCATTTTTAGACCCTAGGCAGGTTAATGTAAAAAAAAAAAAAAAAAAAAGACAAACAAACAAGCAAAAATTTCTTTACAAAAATACAAAAATGTCATCACACAAATACAAAATTACCACACTAGAATCTCTACAAATGCTCTCAATTTTGATTTGACAGCAACCACATTTTCAACTTTCTAGAGAAGCCACAATGACACGTTATATGTTTTAATACTTTTAGTTCTGTTTGAAGTCTATAGTCATGGGGTCCTCTGAAAAAAAAAATGATGACAGGCCAAAGGTACTTCTTCTCAATGGTATATTACAATCACTCTTCTCTATCAGCTTTAAATGAAGACATTTTGGAGTGAGAATGATCATACAATTTTGTTTCATGTTTTTATTTTATTTTGCATTATCAATATTTTTTCTTAAATAAAGATATATATAGGCCTAACCAAAAAAGAGGAGGGGGGTGGGGGGGGGGGGGGGGGGAGTATATTTGCAAATGCAAAAGAGCATTCAGAGGATAAAAAGATCAGTAAACAGAAGTCAATGAAAAATTATAGCACAATATAAGGAGGCACTTTGGGCAATTTTAATATAAAATGTACAGGTATATGTTCCTTATTGTAACAATATATTCTAGGCACATTTATCTTCCAGACAAGCTTTATAATATGTCATGTTATTTACACCTTTAGAGATACTGCATATTGGGTTGCATATAATATTGGTTCCTATCAAGCATGTTCAATTATATATAGTGTAGTTATGAGAGTATTTCACACAATAACAAAGAAATACCAGCATCCTCTGCACAATAAAGACAGCCAGTTCTGTTATGAGAGGCTTTGTTCAGGCAACTGTACATTAACATGATTTAAATCAGTAATAAAACTGAAAAGCAGAGGATCCTCAGGTCTTGTAGAATCCCTGTGGCTGAGGACTGAGACAGAGAGAGACAACCAAACATGAGGATGAGGATGATGCATGTTCATAATTACAGTAACCACAAATGCAGTATGTAAACGTGATATCAGTGCATTAGCTAAATGTATTATTTGCAAACAAATTATGCTTTAGGCCTTTCTGAACAATTTTTGTGATTATTTTAAACAGACTTATCTAAGAGTTTCAGTTCCCCTCAAGTTCAAACAGGTGTGCTATCAGAGTAATCACAGGTGTAATTAATCATGTCATAATTCAACCAAAAACGGTCAGTATCAAAATTTTGAACAGTAAATCTACTGATTTTGTGAAATGTTTTATACTTGAAAAAAAAAAGTATAAAATTGATAAAAATGAAATTTTGTTCTATAATGAAATGCCATTCATATGTTTTAAGTGTATGTCCAAATACGTTATTATTAGCATGTCTAGCATATCTAACAACCACAAAACTCACGTTTTGCAGCAGCAGAATCTGGTCTTTCGTCGTCTGTACATCATAATCTGTTAAGAAGAATGAAAGACATAAGGCATTTGATTTTCACCTTTCAAACACTTCACGAACGACAGCAGTGTGTTGAACTGAATGAAAACTACTCTTGAGTATCCCAGTGAACATTTACCTGTTTGTGTCTGCGAATGCCTATAATGGCGATAACAAGGAGCAAGATGAAGACCACAACTCCACTGCTGATGGCAACACAAAGCCAGATGTCCACTGGAGCTTTCTCTGTGAAACAATTGATTGACAGCAGACATGTTACACATTTTATTGCACATGTATCACTCTCTCCCTCTTTCTTTCACTTCTCTTACCAATCTTTAATGATAGCACAGCATATGTCAACCTCTTCTCATTTTTCCAGAGTTCACATGTCCACTGGCCACTGTGTTCCATTGTCACTTCAGGGATGGACAGAAAAGGTGAAGAGTGAAGAGAGGAGCAGGAGCGACATTTCCATTTCACCTCAAGGTCAGGGGCATGTGGATGTCCTAATGTGCACGTCAGATTCACCCTCTGGCCTACATAAACTCGAGGACCTCCAGATGAGGAAACTAAGAGAAGGAGAAATTCCAGAGTTCAGAATGAACCAGCCAAGAAACGTTTGCATTGTAAATGGATTTATGAAGTCTTTAAAACGTAAACATTTGTGGTTTCGAGCCAAAATTTTGTAGTAATTAACGCACAGTGAACCGTTATTCATCCAAAGTCATTTCAATGTCCAGTGTCACTTTTGTTGGGAATCAACTTAGCCTGAAGCTGCAAGTTACTCGTAATTTAAAGGAACACTGTACTTTTCACCTTATTAAAAAGTTTTACTTTGAGTAACATTTTTGAAAATATGTTTCAAATCATGTACTCACATATGTGGTAACTACAGTCATAGGCCCGGTTTCACAGCCAGGATTCAGCCTTAGTTAAATTAGGACATGTAAGTAGCTTTTATAAACTTGTCTTAAAAAAAACTGATGTGCATCTTGAGACAAAACAATGGCACTGACATATTTTAAGAAATGTCAGTGCAAGTTGCTTTCCGTTAAAACAGCTCAAATATGCATTTTAGTCTGCGGCTAGGCTTAAGCCTTTCTGAAACCGGGGGGTATTCTAATAAAAGCTGATTTATTTTATGTGAGATCACATAACCAGACTAATATTAGTAGCTAATACTAACCTGCTGAACTCCCTAAATGCACACTTTTACTTGTTGTATGAACTAATACTAGTAAAACTGAAAACACCCACGCCACTAGGTGTCAGTATAAGTCGAAGATTTCTGTTATATCTTGACTTATTTATTGTAATGTCAGGTGTAGACAATAAGACTGCATGCACATTGACTGGTCTAGCCTGAAATTTAAACTTTAAGCAAACAACATTTATGGGACAGGTCACATGTCAGAATTTTTTTGTTGTTGAGTGGAAATTATTTAAATGTGAGTACGGCAAACATTTTTGTGAGTTTTCAGGATATCCCCATTCAAGAAGATAGGACTTGGTCTTGGCCTGAAATACAGTAGTTGTCCGGACGTGTTCCGGCCGCAGAGTGAACAGACTTTCCTTGAAAGGTAACTTTGTAAAGCTACGCCATTATGGAAGCGCTGTCACAATATTGACTGAAAGTAGCCAAGTAGCGTGGTTAGTTACTAGACTAGACCAGTGGCGTAGCCACGAGGGGGCCTGGGTGGGCCTAGGCCCCCTCATTTACATGTCCGGCCCCTCAGATTTCTGATTGCTTAAAAAAAAAAAAAAAAAAAACCTTTAGGAGGCAAAATATTTTTTTAGTGATTATGTGAATTACACTGCGCAAACCAAAGTAATAGGCCTACTACCCACCGGATGAAGAAGGGTTTCCTCTCAGTCTCCACAGTAGCCTACATAAAATATTCATTTTATTTTATTTTATTTTTCGTGTTCGCATTTATGAGGAAAAAACAATGTTACGGACGTGTTCTCCTTTACGGACATGGGCGCTCTGAAAGCGGCACTAAAAGATGCTTTAAAACTTTCACAGAGACATTAAACAGAAAGCACAAACCCTTTCTTTAACCTGAATTTCGTTTTGTAGTAATTGTATCTAAATTTTAATGAATGTTTTATCAACCAAATTGCCTGGATTTAATAAATAAGAAGTAAATATAGCAGACGATAGATAGCCTAATCAGAAACGGAGGCGCCGGCGCGTGAACTGGAGCTCGTCTCATAAATGAACCGAAACTTAGCCTACTTGCCTCACATGTCTACTTTTAAACAGAACAATTTAAAAAGAAAGAAAACAGACTGCTTATGTAATCCTTATGAAATGTGCATTTCTCTCTGGCGCGTTCACTACTGAAGATCGCGAGTCAGCATCGTCAACTTCATCTTAGCCGACAAAGAAAACACTTGTTTATTAATAAACAATTAAAATATCTCCTTGCTATATTTTACATATTCATAATCATTACTTTTGCCGGTTCTTTGTGACAGCTTTTAGGTACTTTATTGGCAGCGCCACCCTTACATGTTACATGAGTCGCCACCGCATCACCAGAATAGGTATATACAATTCTGGCTATATATATATATATATATATATATCCTATATATATATGTTGCCCCCTCATTTAAAGACGGGACCCCCCAAAAATAAAATTCTGGCTACGCCCCTGGACTAGACCCCCAACAATTGTCTTTTACCTACCCTGCAGAACCTCCACCTTGACTTTACTCCTGAGGGTCTTGCTGTAGAACTTTAGGTAACAGTTGTACTCCCCCCTGATCTTCTCTGATACAGGCAGATTATTAAACGATAGATCCTGGTCTTTTAACTCTCTTCCCTGGACCTTGCTGTCTGTGTCCGGTGTGATATCCCATCTGACCACGGGACCAATGCTGAGGCTGAGGAGAGACTGCTGCTTTTGGTCACTGAGAGGAGTGAAGTTCCAGCTACCACCCCGAAGGCCAGTCTCATTTAACACGGACCAGGGAATGTTAGAAGACAGGGAGCAAGGAATGTTGACTGTAGAGGACGGGGAGGCCGAGGTATAAATGGGATCTGGTGGAGAAGGGGAGAGGTCTAGAGAAAAAGAGATGAAAAAAGGAAAATGATCACTATTATTATTAGCAATTTGTACCTGCTTTGGACATAAAATAAACAATTAATAATAACATAATATAAATAAAACAACAGTTGTATAATTATTATATTGAAATTATATTAAATATATTGTTTATCTATTTCCATTTAGCATTACAAAAAAGGTAAGGGTAAAAAACTTTTATCAGTGCTCCATCATGATTCTGCTAAATTTGACATATTTCACCATTTTTGTCATTGACTTTAATTATCTTTTATGTTTCTCGTGTATTATACATTCCTTATTACTTTAGTAAGCAACTCTCAGAATGTAAAAACTTCAGTAAATGGATAGATACACTGCGTGTTTAACTCATGGAGTCTCACCTATTACAGAAACAGTTGTTGTTGCTTCAGCTTCTCTCCCATCATACTTCACCTTGCATGTCCAAACACCACTATGACACCTGGACACATCTTTGATGGAAATTGTCTTTTTGTAAAGCTTGTTTTGATGACAATCTGAGTTTTCAGGTGGAATCCATGTTACACTGGGCTTAACTGAACTATCGTCCAGTTTACATTCCAGAGACAGAGGGTCACCAAACATCACGGCCGGTACCTTGGGTATAGTGACTAAAACAGAGAAAAAGGTGGTGAAAGGTGGAATATGGCAACATTGGAGAATCTTATTATGTAATGTGTATAGTTATAGCCAAAAATATCCAAGTGTATATGAAAGTGGAATAACCGATTTAATCCTGTTAATAATGCCAAATATTCAGTTTAGATTAAAGTCATTCTAGTGGTTAAATTCTTCGACTTAACCATTGCCTTTATGAGTGTAGTATGGAGATAGATGATTATAGAATACACTCATAGATTAATGTTTCATGCAGTTTTTATTTTTTTGCAGTTCAGCCCTATGACACAGGGAGACAGACTACTTCTGCAGTGTGTACATCCTGAATTGAGCTCAACAGTAGGTGAGCCATTCCACCGAATGTATTTGTATGTATAAATATGCATGAAAATACAAGTGTCCTGAACATTAATATAACTGCAAATTTAAAATCTATCATTTAAAACATTTATTAAAAAAATACTGAGACCTCTAAAAAGTAGCTTTTGTTACATCTAAACCTTTATCATGAAATATAATCATGAAAATCGTCTTTTTTTCCCTTTTTTTTTTTTTTGCATTGTTGTGTATCTCAACGTACTGTCCTGTTACCTAAATGATTTCTTGTGTTTAATTGAAAAATATTAACTTTAGGTAAGTCACTAGAATTTGCTCAGTGTCCTCATGCTATTAGCATGCATGCTATGTGGCCATATGTCATGTATTTGATGACTTTTTGCTTAAAAACTCAATCCTGTTCCTTTCGGTCCTGTTACTCATACAGTATGAAAAATAACAGGAGTGAGTTAAAGTAACAGTAGTGAGTAGTGTCCTCTGTTTTATTGATTTAATAGTGTGAATATTAGTTGATATAATACTATTCACCTGATTTGTGAGTTTTACAGTTGCAATTACTTAAATTGTAGACTTACAGGGAGCCAGTCGACCACAAAGTGACTTAAACTTTTTGTCTTCATCTTTCTAATATTTTATCTATATAGAAGATGGAGAGAACCCAAACTATGCAGGTGCCAGAAACACCCACCCATGGCATGCTCCAAGAGAAGGAGCGAAACACACCCGCAAACCCTCTTTTCCCTCCTTTTTGTACACTCTCTCTCACACACACGCACATATGGACACTCATTCCTGTTACCCAGTATTCATTTCTGTTACCAAGTGTTCATTCCAGTTACTAATCGGTTTTTTTTTTAACAAATAAAGTTAAACCACTGTTTTTATGAGTTTTGTTTGGTCCATCATTAATACAATTGTTTAATAAATTAGATAATAAAAAAAGTTAAACTTGAGGCTTCGGTCTTCATTAAAATGGAAAAAAAATTACTTTGTGTGTTTTTTTTTATTAAAATACACCTTGTCTTATTATATGATGTTTTTTTTTTTTTTTTTTCACAAATATAAATTATTTAAAGATATAACCCACCATTTCTTTAAAATAAACACTTTCTTGGGGGGGGGGGGGACAAGGAATTAATTGACATGCTTTTGAACATTCTTTTTAAATAGCACATGAGTTTTGGGAACAGGACTGAGAAAACATGCATCCGTCTTCTGCTTAGAAACCTTGTAAAAAATGAAATACATTTACCTGAAATTGACCAATACACATTTTGGATAGTTAAATATGTGTAGTATTAGATTCAGTGTTGAAGAAAATTTAAAAAGAAAGTTTAATTTTGAATAGTTACAACAAGCAAATGTCACCCATTCGGTGGAATGGCCCACGTGTCATTTCCTCATGTTTTTGTCAATATTTAAACTTTTTTGACTTCTGTGGAACGCAAAAGAAGATTTATTTATTTGTGTGTGTTTTTTTTTTTTTTTTGTCCTAAAATTAAACTGAATGAAAATTTTCATTGTATGGACAAAAACAAGGAATGACATAATGAAGCATTTTTTGAGTGAACTATTGCTTTAAGAGATTTTGAGACTGTAAAATTTGGATATTTTTCTACTTTTTGTTTCGCACTCACACTCTCTCTGTACTTTGTCTTACCATGGTACAGTTTGTAGGTCTTGGTGAATTTAGACGTTAATACATGCTGTTCACAGCGCCAAACTTCAAAATCAAAATCTTGTACTGGTGAGATTTGGAGAGAGAAATCCGATAACAGAGAGGCATGTGTCTTAACATCTTTCCCTACAAAAGACAAACATACATGTGCAGTTATATCAAACACTGTAGCCTGATTATTATGGTGGCGTAAAACGGTAAGCATCTCACCTTTTTGGATCCCACTCTGAGGGTTCTTGGAGATAGTTGGTTGGTTAGTTTGGTCTAACCCGCAGTACCAGTTCACATAAAAACTTGATTCTTTATTTGGTATTACCGATACATCTCTAGGTAGGATAGCAGTCCCTCCTATCTGTGCGTAAACTACTATGGGGCTTTCTGATGATAGAAGAACACATCGGTCAGAAGAAGAATGCTTATACAGCCTGCATCTCATGCTCTTCGCCATGTAACAACTGTCAAGATATTTGCAACCTACCTTGCGCTTTGAGAAATCGAACAAGCAGCGATATTAGTATCCAACTAAACATCATTCTGTCCTCAGAGCAGAGCCAGAGAGGATGAATGGTGATCTGTAAGACATAGCCATAGAGAAATGCATCACATAGCATAGAGGAAGGAAGGGGCTTGTGGTGGGCTCAGATTTGTTTGAGAGAAACTGAAACAGTGCAGGATGGTGAGGGGGAGACAGAAGCTTTGTGGTGGGCTTTGGGTTACAGACATAAAGGAAGACAAGTGCCAGTGAAGAAACATGAAAGAACAACAGCTAGAAAGACGGCGAGACAAAGAGGCAGAGAGGTGTGTCTGTGGTGGGCTGAGATTGTGCAGGGAGTAGATCCGTATCCCTCTCGTTTTCACCTCTTCACCTCCTCCTCCAAAACACCCCCTCTCTTCCTCCCTTGTTCCACGAAAGGCGGATCTCTCCACGCTTACACACAGAAAAAAAACACCACATGGCGCTGCTGGTGCTGTCGCTGAGCTTGGAGTGTGGTGTGCATTATGTCTGTTTTATCTGATCTTGGCTTTTTTTCTCTTTTTGTGCATGAGATACACCGAAATCTCTCCTTTTACTCCTTCTGAAGAGATTGATGATTCGAAAAAAATGCAGACTGATTTTTTACAATGTGCGCTCTGTAAATCCTTTGGTTTTTGACTTTAATTTGCCATATTCTTTATATTTCTACAACGGCAAGGTCATGGGTTGGATTTCTAAGGGATGCATGAAAATGATAAAAATATAATATAGGCCTACGTTAAATGCAATGCATGTCGCTGTGGAATAATCGTCTGCCAAATACATAAATGTAAATTACGACTATTTTAAGATAAACAAGCTCAAACATGAATGCACATTTAAGAAAATCTAATTATATACCAGGAAATGATATTGTTCCAACTTGATTTTTTTTCACAATTTTGCTTTTAAAATTATGTTTTATTATTTTTATTTTTGCCTGTCCACCACTGAGAACAAAAAGTGGCTGTTTAGATTCAGTTTATTTAGATTGATGCATTGAATTTATATATAAAATAAAACAATGAGGCTATTGAGGCTATTATGAAAAAACTAGGACTTTCTTGAAAAAAAGTCAATGTTTATTAAATATAACTTCTGGTATAATTTGCACCAATATAGTTGAGCACCAAAAGTATACTGCAAAGAACAGTTGGACCTTTTGTTAATGGCAGTTACATTTTTATTAAAAGTACTAAAAATCCAACAACGTATAGTTCAAAATAATTAGCCATATGGAATATACATGTTCATGCGGAGTGGTAAAGGCTATTTATGCATATATGATATGGCTTAAATTTTTTATTTCAGTATGAAAAAGAGCAGTTTTCAAATAAATAAATAGAACATTTACCGGCACACTGTCTTATCAATGGCTAATGAAATCATGAATCATTCAACGCAGGCGTTGCATTCTGGGAATCTAAGTTGCTTTGAATAAAAAACTGCTATGAATTTAAAACCATTAATTGAGACATGCCGTTATAATAGTTTCAACTATTTGTACTGTGATGTATTTTTTAATTAACCATAACTAACATTTCTTTTTCTTGCAGGAATAACATTTATATGCTTTTGAAACCTAAATGTTCCCAAACACTTTGGCCAAAGTCAGTGTGTGTATGTCTGAATCATGTTCGAATATTACAATATTTTTGCTGGTGGGATTCTCTCTGAAATTGGTATGAGGTCCTCCGGCCGTGATTAAAGCATATTCGAAGGCATTGTCTGGAGTCTGGTTAATTATTGCTGCGCAGCAGGTTATAGGACACTAGAGATCTTATTCAAGTTATAGTACGGGACGTCGGCTGAGTGGGGCGACTTTCTAGAAGATAAATTTGTAAGCGTTGATCAGGAGACGACACAGGTATTTCTACCACAGTACGTAAGGTCCAAATGTGTTTATTCCTCTGAATCTGAATTTAAATGTTCCTTCATTTTTGCTGCCAATTATTACCAAACTGTCTAATAGTGAACTTAGCAATTGTAATCTGATGAATGTTTTAAGTCTCTAGTAGAGCAAAGAAATGTGTAAGAAATGAGGGAAAAGTCTATGAAGAATGAGAAACAGAACAGAGGAAGAAGAGAAGAAGCACACAAAGAAACGCAAACGATAGATGTAGAGATAAAGACAGCCAGAGACTGCACCTGAACAACTAACCCAGAAAGACAGATGATCAGGGCTGTGGTCAGGATGGAGGTTAAACAGTAAACAGACACACAGAGATGGAGGAGAAGGGAGGGGAACATTAGTAAGACCAAGAACTTGAAACAAAGCTTTCAGAAGTCAAAAGACAGTCCTTCAGTTCATTTTCACAGCATCGCATTCACCAGAAGAATATACGTCTGTTTTAGATCCCTTGTGCATCTGATGTCTTGCTAAATTTTGTGTATTGGAAAGTTTTCTAGTTTCTGTATGAAACAAGTTTTTAACCATGTAACATATGAAAATATAAAGAATGCAAAGCTTAATTTCTGTTAAATTTGCTTTCTGTAATTCAGCATATTCTACAGTAATATAGACTTCACAGTAAATAATGCAGCTTCATTTAGTTTTTTGCTTCTAAGGTAATATAACTTAAAAAAAGGTAGAAAAAGGAATTTATCCGCTATTCTGATCTAGAGAAGCATAAAAACAGATTAAATTAAATCATCCATAATAAGAACTGATTAAAGCTGCCACGTGCAAATAAAACATTTTATAATTAGATGTACATCTTTGTGTAAATATACTCACCTTATGAGCGAAATACTTTATCATTCCTCTTCAAAGTTCTGCAGCGGATGTGTTCACTTACAGGCCAAAATATTTCTATTTAACCTCCGTTGACGCCTCCCCTCTGTCTGATTGGCCTGAGAGGTAAAAGAAGACGTCCGGTTATTTACATAAAGCTGTTAAATTCTTTTCTTTCTTTTTTTTAGATTTTGGTTAGACATTTTTCTGTTTTTTCCATGGAAAATCTGAGTTATCACTTGAAAATGTGTACGAAAATTACTTTTCTAACCGCATAATTTCTGCCTCTAAAACATGATTGTTAGAACAATATAATAAATCACAGTAAATTTCTAATTCGTAGGGAAATTTTAATCAGATTAATGTCGGAAAAGTTTCAGTGACAACAATTAAATGATAAAATTTTAAAGTTTTCTAAGTTTTCCAAAGATAACCAGAAAAATGTTACGCCCAAAAACGTTCTGAGTAGGTTTTTTCTAGTCTCCAATAAATATTTTCATATAAAGGACAACATGTTTTCTGTAACCGTATGTATTCTGAACAGCCTATTTTATATTTAAGTTTTTCTGTTTGGTAGTTTTTTTTTCCACCGCATCATATTTTAACTGACTCAGTCATGTCCATTTATACTTTTAAATGTAAGTATTCTATTAGTAACCAGAGTTTTAGATCTGTTGATGTTATCTAGTCCATTTCAAAACATTTTTATTATGAATAAACATCTTTATCAGCATGCGACGCTCCGAGCCCAAAAGAATAAACTCTAACAATTTCTATTCCTCTTTTGTCTTTTTGGGGTTCCTTTTTCCTTTACATGCATTACATAACATTACAATATTTTTGCTGGTGGGACAAATATTTAACATTTTAATATCTATCATCTGTTCAAAGAGATCCGATGTCTAACAATCATATTAACCCGCACTTGGAACTCGAGTGCATACGCGGCTTGAGCAAATATGAGTTGAATATAATAACATATAATGACTGTACTAAATAAATGCACCAAAATGTATTTAAAAAATAGCTACATTTATTTTATGCTAAGTATACTTCAAATACATTTACAAATTTATGTACTTAATATAAAACCCTATAATTGCACTTTTGGTATACTAAGTCGGCTAAATTAAAACAACTTATTTTGTACTTTAGTTATCCGAAAGTGCTGAAATCCAACTAAAGATATACTTAAGTATATTTGATTGTGCAAAGTGGAACTATTGCAAGTATACTTGAGGTACACTTTAAATATCTTGCATTTAAAGACTGATATTATACAATGATCATACTATCCTTACAAGAGATATTAAAACACATTTTAGGCTTAATATTAAGAAATGTGCATTGTGCAATAAAGAAGTACTCCAAATGAAGTTTATTTGTAATATATATATATCAGTGTCAAGCGATATGTCTAATAAATGTATTTTAAACACATTTTGGTTTAGGGGTTTTTTCACCATGGTATGAACAGATAATTCAGTTTAATTTGTATAAGAACTTTAAAAATTGTAACTTGTACAAATGTTCTCAGTTTGCTAAATCAGCATATAACACCACATATACAGACTAAAATGTTTAGCTGTATGTCGTTCACAGATAAATTTGACTTGATAATATGTTGACTTGAATAAAATGTAGATGCCTATTCTGTAAATTACAGGATTTTTTTATTAATTTAAATGTTATTTCTTAAAATAACACAAAAGAGGAACACTATTTGAAAAGTAAAAAAGAATAATTTCATTATGTAATATGCAATTATGAGGCAAATATGAAATTTAAAATGCATTCAAATATAGATCATTTAAAGAAGCACGGTCATGGATAAACTATAGACTGCCGTTTCTTATATTATTCAAATAAATTAGCACAACCCAACTTCCTCTAAAAATGGACTGATCTCAGCTGTGTTACTTTATTTTTTAATGACTAAAAGGTTTCTCTGTAATGTATCACTTCTGCTATAAGATGACCAATGCGGTTCCTCAGAGGAAAACAAACTAAACAAAAGCTAAAGGATGATTAGGAAAAGAGAAAAATGCTTTTTTTTTTCAAGTCAAGTCAGCATCTTTCTGCACAATACTTCTCTTTAGATCTCGCTCTTCTCTTTAGATTTATATCTTACATTTATAGTTTGTAACTCACGAAATCAAATGCCTAATAAGCCCAAATAAGCCTCAATGACTTCTGATTCTTATTCTGATTATTGTGTTAGATTTGCATTAAAGGTGATTTAGAAAGCCCCAGCAATTCACAAGTCTTCATACGCAGCTATTAAGCTTTTAAAAACGACGGTTCTTCGGTCGTTCTTTGCAGCACATTGGGTTTTGCAAAGAACGCTTTTCTTAATAAGAAACTCTTAAACATGTTAGAGTTTTACATACTGATGTCGTTGGAGAACTTTTTCTGTCTAGGTCTTAACAAAACTGAACAAAATCAATGACTTGTGCTTTAAAGAACCCAGAAACGAATATGCTGACCTGAAGAACTCATAATGCAAGATGAAGATGTTCCTTCATCTCCAAAGAAGCATATAGCCAACTCAAAAACCTTTCAGCGTTGGTTCTTATTAAGAAAAGCGTTTTTTGCAGCACATTGGGTTTGGCAAAGAACGCTCTTCTTAATAGGAACCAACGCTGTAAGGTTTGGCTATGCTTCTTTGGAGATGAAGGAACATCTTCATCTTGCATTATGAGTACTTCAGGTAAGCATAGTATTTTCTGGGTTCTTTAAAGCACAAGTCATTGATTTTGTTCAGTTTTGTTAAGACCTACACTGAAAAAGTTCTTTGTGGAACTTCAAAGACTGTCCAACGACATCAGTATGTAAAACTCTAACATGTTTAAGAGTGAATAAAGCATCCTGCTGTAAAAGAATAAATGCCTTAAAGAAAAGCGACAGGTACTGTAGAGCATCTTTCAGCGCTGTATGAACAGGAGTGGTTTGCTAAGGGGAACCACATGAAGGTTGAAACAAACATGTTGCCTGCCTCACATCTGTGTCTGAGGTTTCACCTCTCTGTCATTCTCGCTCTTCCTGCCGTGCTCAGTTCATCTTCTTCAAAAAATACCTTTAGCTTCATGTAGTTCTTAACGATCACTATTCTCCCTCCCTCTATCTATCCATCTATCTCCACATTCTTCTTGATTCTCCTTTTTCTTTCGAAGCTGTAAGGAAAGACCCATTTTAGAGGGATCCCTCATTACTCACACAGACTGAAAAGGTGTCGAGACACCAACATAATCATTACTGAAAGAAAGAAAGCAAGAAAAGTGGGCGATTTATTTCAATATGTCCCATACAGGTTTTCGTTACGTGTTTCCCCTTCAGCAAGTCATTTCTGTGTGTACTTGACTGAAGAGGACTGATATTGTCCTCGTCTCCCACACATCTTACCTTATAACTAGTATGAAGGACTTTTTGGGGCAAATAATCAACACTTTTCTTTTGTCTTGCCATTTTATCTACAATCTTTGTCTGGTATGCTAAAATTAGCGATAATTGTAATACTGTTTTGTGAGAGATTCGCTAAGCCTGCGTGACTAACGGGGGATCCTCTACCAGATCTGAAATTTCAGAAACGTTTAGTGATTCACATACATCTGCTTAGACTGTGGGCTGTAGGAAATGTTGAAGAAGTCTGAGGAGTGCAGAGAGTGCTGAAGAAGACTAAGATGGACGCCATTGCAGGCAACAGCTTCTGGGTTTTCTAGTGTAAGAGTTTCACATGGTGAGCTGGCTGTTTTGGAAAAGTGAGTGGAAATGACATAGAAAGACATATTGCATTTGTCGCTTTCATTCTTGAGTTTTAGTTGCAAACCTCCTCCATTTAATTAAGTCCTGTAGGTTTGAAATGCAAGTATGGCAAAATGTCAGTGGAAAGAGATGTCGACAGAACGAGAGATTACTGACATTTGGTGTGAGGCTTACAAAAATGTGTATTTTTAGATTAATGTACAGAAGATTAGATCATATTTTAGACTGCAAATTTCGAAACCTCACACTATAGATGATGATTCTGTTCCATTGCGTAATTGTTGCGTTCGCATCATGCTGTGTTTTTCTGCTGACGGGCCTACCTGTAAATGGCCCTCTCTATTAATGTATTTTCACAGAAATGCTTAAAAAAGTCATACATATTTTCAGAAATCTGTCATCTATAGTGTAATTTCCTATATACTTGTTCTCATTTTCATTTTCAAGTGGAGTTCCATTGAATGCACAATATACATTCAAATTATTTTTTTTGTGGCTGCCATACAATCTGGTTAAGATGACGCTTGTTTACTTTATTGAGGTGAATGAATCACCTGTCATCCTCAGTGTCTTCTGAGAGGATTAAAAAACATTAAACATTCAAAAAAATGCTGCCTATTAAATGCCTCTTCCATAACAGTAGACTCAGACCATCTATAAAGACAGATTTGTTGTCTTCTTTCTCATGAATTACATTTTCTGTTCCAGAATGAAACTACCGGTCAGGTTGGAAAACACTCTGACAAATTGTGTGGTATGTGTGTGGGACAATAAGTGAGAGGATGAGAAACAAAGAAAAATGTCTGTATGACACACTTTGTGAAAGAGGGAATCCTGCTCTCATTATGAAAATCGCTCCCTCCTTCATAAAAGCAGAACTCTAACAACAAAATCAAACACAGATTCACTCTGTATTTTCAAACTTGAGGTCACCGTTACACACTCCTAGGTCAAGTGTTGCAGTTTTGAAAATGAAGGGTCACGCCCATTGTTATGTAACACTGACCATCCAAAAAGGCTGTTTCCTTGACTATTAAAACACACTTATCCTATTCTTTTAATTCCACGTGTAGAATCTATGAAACACATATGTATTCTGGAATCAGGATGCTGACTTAAAGGGATACTCAACCTGAAATTGTTCCTAACCTGTCTTCTGCTGAACACACACACACACACACAAAAAAAAAAAAGATATTTAGAAGAATATGGGTCACCAAACAGTTAATGGACCCAATTGACTTCCATAGTATGGAAATAAAAAATACTATTGAAGTCAATGGGGCCCATCAACCGGTTGGTGTCCGACATTCTTCAAAATATCTTCTTTTGTGCTCAGCAGAAGAAATACATTTATACAGGTTTGGAACAATTTGAGGGTGAGTAAATGATGACAGAATTATCATTTTTGGGTATATCCTTTAATTATTTACTTATTTATCGTCCTTTACAGTCAGAGAAGGATGCTAGATTGAATTCTCAGAAGATCAAGAGATGTTGTCCAGTGATCTTTTTTAAAAGTACATAACATATTTTAAACCAATCATAACTTTCATTATATTGATAATACCGAACGACTCTAAAAATCCAAGCTACTGAAATAATTAACATAGGAAAAAGGTCATAACCTAATGTTCTTTAGATTTTAATGAAATAATGTTAAAAAATGTTACATCATTGTGCAGTTAACGACTCATTCCACATAATTTGTCTATTATAATAAAGATTATTCATGTGTGACATATTGCTTGTACATTGACCAAACTCTCTTTCATAAGCTGAAATCCATGCATGCGCAAAGTTGAACTGAGTGTATGTATGTATATAAATATCATATTATATACATTATTTATAATGGCTAATGATAACGAAAGACAGTGGCCAAACAAATCCTTGTCTGAGAAAATGAACCTGTTTTTGCATTATGCATTACCCATTGTAATGCATTTGGCATTACAATGGGTAATGCATAATTACATTGTAATGCATAATAATTGTGCAAACTGATGATTGTGCTCATTTAATAATTTTGATTCAGATTTTTGTCATTGTGTTAGTGTATCTTAAAGAACTTGTCTGTTCTCTATTTCAGAGATTTGTTTCTATCACTGAACAAGTGCCACTCCACAAATACAGGCCGCTGCATTAACACCAAACGGCTAGAGACAAAATGCACTGCTATAATCTGTTGTTTTATACTGTGATCATTAATACTGCTTTATTTATAACCACTGACAACCCAAGTTGAGGTAACACTTTTTAGGGTGACGTAGTTACACGTTACATGTACTTACTGTAGTAATAACAGTAAATTATGCATAACTACAAGCAACTAAGACAAACCTTAGTAAGTACGTGAAGTTAATTAATTAAAATGTAGTACTTATTTGTGTAATTACCCTGTAACAATCTCACCTCAAAATAAATTGTAACCCAAGGTGATTATTAAAAAAATGTCAATCGTTTATTTGACATTTTTTCACTGTGCATTTTGAGCTGCACCTGAGGTCAAAAGTGTTTTTAATGGGTTGAATTTTGGAAAGACGTTTGACAGAACGAGACAAAGTCGAAAAATATAATAAAGCTCGTACAGCCTTCTCTATATGTGCCGCTAACATGAGAATAGTTTATTGCTGCATAAAGTCAGTGCATATCTGTAAAGTCAGTTATGCTGGAATGATATTTTCATAATAAAATTAGCATGATAAAAAAAGCATGTACGATAACCATACTCAGACATTTGCGACTACATTGCTATATACCCTGACAAACAGAATCTCTCCATGACATCTTCGACACGTTTTATTCACCTAAGGGAACGCAATATGTTGGACTCTTGAAAAAAAATCTTATATTGATGTTGTCACGAGGGATAGCAGACCTACTTCTATGTTTTGTATGTGATTTTCCTCAACAATACACAGACAAAAAGAGATCTTTAACAAAAGGCAGTGATGTCTGACAATGACGCATAGTTGTTTTTTATGATCGGGAATCTGTTTGTATTTGTATCATAACTCCTTTCCCCTGCAGAACACAATGTGGCCTCAGAACGTATTTGGACACCTAAGCCATACTTAAACAAATAAATACCATTGCATTCGATAACAAAATATCATATTAAATGGCATTGCTATTGTTGTTTTTTAATCGCACAATTTTCAAGCAAACTATTTAAGTGATAAAACAATACATTTACTGTTCAAATTAAGACAAGAAGAGTGTTTGGATACTTTTGGATTGTCAGACGAGTTAATGTGATGAGCTACTTGTGGTTACTCTGGTTGGACACCTGTGTGAACTGGGGAGCTGACTTTATACATCCAATAAAAAGCATCTTAATACCAGTTTTAAAAGTATACATTTGGCAGACTCTCATCCAAAACAACTTACACTGCATTCTATTGCATTTTATCAGGTTCATGCAGGCCTATAGGAATTAAGCCTTGTCTGAGCTGCAGGAGTTAGTTGAGGATAGCTCTAGCAGCATTTTGTTTGCAGACGACGCTTACATTGATATTTTCTATCTAATGCAATGGCATTCATTTTTAAGTGGGAATTGTATTGAATACATTCTGATAAACTGCAATTAATGTGGATGGATTTCCGTTAGTAAAATTGGGTGGAGGATGAGGATGGTGTCTATTAAAATAAATAATTCATAGTGTAAAAGCTGTTCACAGTCTTTGTTTCAAACAGGGAAAGGCTAGTAGTTTAGAGCAACCCATACCTTGAAATTTTGAAGCAATACATTATGTGATAGGTATACTAGTGACTTAAACATGAACCCTTTTCCGAATTTAAATGTAAAAATGTCTAATATTGTAAATGACTTTTATGAAAATCTGCTGTTTCTGTTCAATATTACCTAAATATACACATGTTTTAGGTTTATATTGATGTGTCAGTGACCTCAAATGATTTAAATTAAATGTAGCAAATGCAAAAAGTACACCTCAGTCGGACTGTGAACATTTAACGTATTACGAAACTGTTGAAACTTCACAAAACCTTCATCTTATCACACAAGACTAAACCTGAATAGTACTTAAAAGTCTTTGACTTAATCTTCACCCAGTTTATAAGAGTTTGTCTGTCGACAACAAATAATTGTGAATTTTTAAGTAATGATCCGTATTTAGGCCTTGGCCTACAGTAGCCTACGGTTAGAATTAAACAGAAGTGACTTAATACGATGTCTAATATCTGTTAATATTCTGCACAGTAAAGGCTGACACATTTAAACAGCCTATTGTATGTCTACAACAATAAGAGTAATAAAACATAAATGCACATTGACACAAGATAACTTAGGCTATTATGCAGCAAGACTTCCAAAAAATAAAAACAACCCAAAATATTTAGTAAACTATGTCAGTATATCAATATACACCTAAAATCTCTCTTGAATTGGTTATTCATGTTATCATTCAGCTATTAAACTTTTGATATTGAGTATTTTTATTGCTAGACAGACAGCACACCAAAAACAACAGATCGCCATCCGAAACATCTACAACTTCACATTACAATACTTTTTTTTTTTTAAGTAGCCTATATAGGACCATATTATTTTAATGAACAAAACTAGCTGCTTGTAAAGAAGATCATTAACGAACTCCACCACTGTCATTTTGTATGGAATATTTGATAGCTCGTCGTTTGTGTCAGACATTTAGCTGAAGACAAAACAGCTTTATACGAGTAAACACATATCTATCAGGCATGCAGACTAATAACAAAAAGCATAGTTTGTCTTTGTCATAGTAACAGAGCAATACTTACAGTTCTGATGAAATGAGTGTGTGTGCGTGTGTATGTGTTCTGCTCAGGATCTCAGAGCTACACTGACATTTTCTTCCAAACACACTCAGTCACACACATAGGACAGGAAACTGCAACGTGATTTGCGCAGCTCTACGCTCATGTGGTATCGTAGCATATGCCTTTGTTTTTACTTTGACAGTTTACCTCTATATCAGTGCCACACATCATTTATCACACCAAAGGCCTTCCGTCTGCATCAGCGAGCCTTTCCTAAAGCTCTTTTCTCTTGCATTCTGACGTCTTTGGGGCCGTTCACACAGAACGCGTTTTTCCATCCCAGTGCGCTACTTTTTCATTATTTTTCTATTGTAAACGCGCTAGACCATAGGTCGGCAACCCGCGGCTCTAGAGCCGCATGCGGCTCTTAAGCGCCGCCCTAGTGGCTCCCTGGAGCTTTTTCAAAAATTTGAAAATGGAAAAAATATTTTTTTTGTTTTAATATAATTTCTGTATGAGGAAAAACATGACAAATATTCTTAAAGTTTTTCAACGTTGTAAAAATGTGTATGATAAATATTTAATTTCAACATTTCTGTCACTGAAGAATTTACGTCATAGACTGTGACACACGTGTCTGTCAGATCGGCGTGATGGTAGACCGGTGGCTGACAAACAAACAAACAAACCGGCGGGTGTGTCATGGGCCATGGATCCCAAGGGGAAAAAGAGAAAGATAGCTGAGCACTCCCAACGCAATAGAGTGCGGCGCGGGACTAGATTTGATGGCCGAGTGCGAGCGCGGGCGCGTGCGGTAATGCACTCACTCTACTAAAACAAAATAGAAACGATTTACAGGGCAGAATTTCTATTCATAACATGTTTGCAGCGTTGAGCGATATAGCCAATCACAGACATATGTGTTGATTTCTTGAACGCAATGGCCAATCAGAAGCATTTAAGATAGACTCCCCTCATCGCTCGAAACTGACGTTTTTGTTCAGTGCTGAATTCTGTATGCTGGCAAATCCTTTAATTATAATGAACAAAGTGTGGATATTATGAAAGATTCATTGTGCAGTCAGCTTCATTGATAATAACAGAGATGTGTGAGATCGCGATGAACTGTCATCTTTTTACGGATTATTAAGAGAGCGCACTTTGCGCGCATTCAGTCTTGGCAAACCATGCACGCAGTAAACTGCTTGCTTTCATGTTAAATTAACAGTGGTTTGTGTTTTAATGCTTTAATAACAAATAATTTATCAGGAGGATGTATGGTGGCGACACGTAGGCTAACTTGAAAGTATTTGGAGGTACAGAAAAAAGTGTATTTGCGGGCGGGAGCGGGACAAAACAAATGTTGCGGGCGGGAGAAAGAAAGTTGAGAACGTCAGTTATAACGACCCACGCATTAAAAAATGGTCGGGTTAAAATCGGGCTCGGGCTCATAATTACGTTTAATGTGTCGGGCCGGGCCGGGCCGGGCTTGATTTTTTGGGCCGTTCTAAGCTCTAATTTGTAGCCTACTTATCATTTTGATACTAATAAAGCTAATATAACACTTACAGCATGTGTTGCCTTCATTATAAGGCTTATATAACGCTTTTAATTTTTTGCGGCTCCAGACAGATATTTTTTATTTTTTTTGGGTCCAATATGGCTCTTTCAACATTTTGGGTTGCCGACCCCTGCGCTAGACGGACGTGTGTGTGTGTGTGTGTGTGTGTGTGTGTGTGTGTGTGTGTGTTGACCGTTGAGCTCGCGTCTTGTGCAGCGTCTCGCGCATGACACTGCGTTCTAAAAACGTTGCGCTCACGTTAAAAGAAATTTGACTTTCTTTATAAAGTGCATTTTTATCTTATCCTACGCCAAAAATCAGACACACTTTTGTACTAAAAAACAGATGAATGTTCTTCATATGGAAGTATAATTTATTAATTGCTGGAGGCTATATAATTACACAAAAATTAGCATTTGAGTAATTTGGTGTTTTTGACGTCTGCAAACAGCTGTGCATGTGTGGACACCTGTGAACTAAAAAAAAAATCCAGCTGCACCAGTTTAATTCTGTTCATTAAAGCTATAGTGCACACACACACACATAGAGAGAGAAAGAGAGAGAGAAGCCCACACATGTACAGCAGAAGCATGTTAAAAGAATATAAAAAATTTATTTTTGAAAGAAAAACTGCAACATTCAACATTCTTGTCATTCAAAAAGCACAGTTGTGAAAACATTTATATTATATACTCTGCAAAATACACATGATTTGATTTAAAAGTACAGTAGCCTAATCAGGGCATATTCATTCATTTGTGTTTTTGGCATCATTAAGCAAGAAGCACATATAAAAGCACAGGCCCAGCATGGCATGATTTTTTTTTTCTCAGTAGTCTTGCTCTTTGCTCTTGTCGATTGAATGGTTTTGGCCTGCTGGATGTGTACGCAGGTTGCGCTGTTTTCTGGGCACTGGAAGCGGTCTGTCTTGCTGTCCCAACACCTCAAACTCTGTCTTAGCTCTACAAACAAACAAATGCTGTAATACATCTGTAATACTGTATGATTGCTTTAACACTGTAGTTCATTTATTTAAACTGATATGAATTATTAACTACGAACAAGTAAATATTATTAACCAAATGTGTAACTGTGTAAATATAACCAGTTTTAGGGGTAATGCATTATAGTAATGAGAGTTAAATAATCAAAAAGTAACAAATTACTTTGTTATTAAAAAACAAACAAGCAAGCAAGCCGTGACAAAAAGTAATGCAAATGTAACTTTACGTATTACTTGTCACGTAATTAGTTATTTTTAACGATTAATGCAATACTGTAAAGCATTGCTTTTAAAAGTAGCTTTACCAAACAATGAATATAACTTCCCTACATTTATTCATTTCAACATTATACCAGCAACTACGATGTGGTGTAAACAATAGGGATGCATGGATATAAAAATTATATTTGTTTCATATAACAGATAAATGGCAGATTATTTAAATTCCACACTATTTTGTCCAAATAAGTAAAAAAATATATATTTAAAATATTAAAATAAATCTCTTGAAATGCTTGGAAGTGAATTTAGGTATAGTAATTATGAACAGTATGAAAAATGCAATGGTAATCTAAATGTAACAATAGGGAAATGAGCAGACAGTTAAATAAGCAATATTAACTGATAAATTAAAAATAACAATGTAAAACTTAATTAATTTTAAGAGAATATATAACGAAATGGCAGCATTAGAAAAAGGGAGTTTATCCAAAAATGAACATTTTGCTATCACTGACTCACTTTCATGTCATAACAAACCTTTTTGACTTTCTTTCTTCTGTAGAACGATAGAAGATATTTTGAAGATATGAACCCCGTTGACTTTCATTGACAAAAAACTGACACATTTTTCAGAATATCTTCTTGTGTAAAACAAATTATTTTAAGGTGAACTATCCCTTTAAAGCAACATAAAGACCATACAAACGTTCAGTAAGCCTGACTGAGTAATACAAGTACCATGTAAAGGAAGAGGAGGTACCTGTTGCATTGGCAGTAGTCTTTGGCAGTAAGAGGCTGCCGCATGGATCTCCGATTTTTCACTCTCTTCTAGATAATAGAAGAAAAAAAAAACATTAAATGAGCCACTTCCTTTCTCGCTTGCTTGCTGGTTTTCTTCTTTTCTTTCTCTCACCTTAATTCGTTTGTTCCTTCGCTGGACGAGAACAATCACAACGACAAGTCCGATCAGAACCACAGAACTGACTCCTATGGCAATCCAGACCCACAGCTGTAAGCCAAACATCTCCTTGGTCCATGTTCCCACACCTGCAGGTTTTTTCCCTCGTACTTTAGTGACTTCCTGTCCACCTGTTCAATGATCATTATAAACTAAGACTGCGCTGTTGATCTGGGATTTTGCTTAGTGCGCAATGCACATAAACTGCATCCTTTCTATTGTGAAATTATATTCATTCCTATACAGCGATGTTAAAATCCTGCCTGATACCAATAAGAAATCTTCGATGACAGCAAACATATTATAAAAGTATGGGAAATAAGCATATACAATTAATGTCTAATTCCAACATATATTAATTATGGACTGCTCACTAACATCGGCAGTCAATAACTGATGTGCTTCTAATATATAAAGTGCATCCCTACGAGACTGATTTTGTAAAGTTGTGAAATGTAGATTTGTTTCACCTGAAGGTTTGGCCACAACCGTCAAATTCGTCTTTGCAGTTAGCACTGCTCCTCCCTCGAACTTCACTGTACACACATAGTCCCCTTCATCACTACGCTCCGCCTGAGAGAATAAGAGAGGAAATGACTGTCAACTCTTAAAATAAAGCTTCTTTATTGGCATGATCTATGGTTCCATGAAGAACCCTAACCATCAATGGAACCTTTTCATTGCACTAAGAGCTCTTGATTATGCATTTTATCAAATTATCCACACACAAAAAAAATCTGAACTCTTCACTTAAATGTTCTTTGAGGAACCCAAATTATACTAATAAATGATACAAATTATATTATACAAATTATTTTTTTCCCAAAAAACTTTGGAACCTTTATTTTTTAAGAGTGTAACATGAAAATGTAATAGGTGTAGTTTATTCAAAGCAAGATCAGTGTAAGGTATTCACATTTATCAATGTGACATCATAGTTTGTGCTGAGTTGTCCACTAGTAAATGTGACTTTTGTTGAATTCTCGCCCTTCCAGTGTAAGCCTTTGCTGTCTGATTTCACCAGGGTTGGGAAAGAGTCTGGGAGTTGGTCAGCCGTCCACTTCCCACCCACAACAGGTTGAGATACACTCTGAGAAAGAGAACAGGGCAGCACTATTTTGCCCCCTTCAGGAACTTCAACAGCTTTGGTCAGGAGACCTGTTGGAGACCCAGACAAATGTCATTTATAGCATGATGAAATGTGAAATATTATAATGACTTTTATTAACTATTAGGGACACCAACCGACAACAGTCAATGTTAAACTGAACTTCAAGTCATCCTTGACCACACATGTCCACTGGCCCTGGTCGTTTGAAGTCACAGACGTCAGCTCAATCACTTGTTTTTTATAATTTGTTTGATCATTAGCGGGATTCAGCCACTGTACTTCAGCATTTGGTTTTCCTGTAATGTCGCAGTGCAGCTCTGCATTACTAGACTGCACCAGCACTGGGCCTGGCTTAGCAAAGACTGAGAGAGAGAGAGAAAAGGGAGCAAATATATAAAAAAAATACAATCATTCTAAAAAATAAATAAATACATACAAAAAAAAGCCAAATCTAGGTTCTCGCCACTGCTGTCGTCTCTCACCTGACACAACATGCAGAGTGTGTTGTTTCCCTGTCTGAACGCAGGTATAAACTCCAGAGTCTGCTTTCTGCAGGTCGGGAACCTTCAAAGTTCCATCATTTATCTTTACTTTATCCTTAACATGGGAACTACCTTTAAAAATAAAATCAATTATAGTGTGACTCCTCACAATACTTCATATTCAATCATATTTGTATAAAAAGGAGAATAAACTGATACCTTTCATTTTACTTCCACTTTTCCCCCTAATGGTAATAATGCGAATGTCGTTCAATTTCCATTCTACATCACTGTTCGGATGTAAGACACCACAATTCATGGAAACCTCACCCCCGACTTGCTGATATAACTCATCACATTTCCCAGACGATGTACACAGTACTGAAGGAGAGAATGTTGGAGAATAAGGTGGGGTTAAAGAGAGAAAAGCTGTGCAGGCAGAGTTTTATATATAAAAGGTACTTGAGAAAATTACAATGCACTTTATGAGTTTATTTATGCTCACCAAGAAGGAGAAAAAAGAGGATCTTGCAAGTTGGCATTCTGTTCCTTTTTCTAAAAAAAAAAAAAAATATTGAATAAAAAGTAAAGTTTCTTTTTAAATCAAAATTTCAAAATTTATATTGAATTTCTTTTCAATGAGAAAATCTTGTCTGACGGGTTTTTTTGTATATAAAAAGAGGCCAATGCTTTTACAACTAAGAAAAAAAGGGGCAAACAGGAAAACAACATATGTGGCTGTGAGCCACAAGTGCAACTGTTTTCGGTAATTTTGTTTCATTCTCTCTTGTAAATACAGTCCTAATTTAACAGATTAAAATTAAATTTGAATAATTTGAGATAAATATCCAAGACACTTGTATCACTATTAAGCGTGTACACAAACATTGGTAGACGTGGGGGGTGGGGGATGGGGAATGAATAAAAATGTTTATTGTAGCCTACTTTAAATATATATATATATATATATCAAAGCTTTATAACGTATCTCTAATGCATAGTAGGCTAATATACATTTCCCTTACAGTGTTTGTGGAGCAAATAAGAATTTCTAATTCAATCTGCTGTTATTATTACATATTTTTGTTTTTTTATCCTATACGGTTATGACAAGCTGAAATATTTTCATAAATCCTGCAAAATACTGTACTTACGGTATAATCTTGTAATCGTTTATTTCGTATAGGCTACTTTTGAATTCTTAAAATAAGAAATTATATAAGTTTTTTTTTTTTACTTTTTAAGTTACTTTTTTTGTTTTTTACTTAAGTTACATTTATTATTAGTGCAAGTCGGTCCTTATATATGACTAGATATTTAAAAAGTATTAAAGTTAACGAAAAGAAAAACAAAAATATATAAAGCCTATATAGAAACAACGAAAAGATAAAAAAAAAAAGAGCATCATGATCGAGTGTTAAAGAAATATTATCCTCTTTTGGTTATAAAACAATATATCTGTATCTCACTTAGGAATTGAAGACAGATTTATCTTTACTTAGACCACATGCAGCAAAAACCCATCATTCAGTTGGATCTCTTTTTTTTTTTTTTAAATTTTTATTTAAAACCCTTCGCGTAAGCAAGACAAGTTAGATAATAGATTTCATATTTGAAAGCTCTGCTGTTTATACTCACGTTTGAATGCCGTTTTCTGTTTTGTTGACAAAGTTTCTAAGAAGTTTATGCGCCTTTAGTCCAACTGGCAAAAACAAGCGTGTGAGAAACCAGCCGATAGGAAACCTTTAACCTGCACTAGAAACTCAAAAGAGGTAACAGAGCGGAAGAAGAAAAAAGTAGTGTGTTTGGAGAGCAGAAACCGCCTCTCACATGTAGGCCTACTTCGCGGTGGGAAATCCTTGATAGATTTGAGAATTATGGTTAAAACGTTGAATAATTAATCGATATTAGTATTTTACAGCTACATCAACAGGCCTAAATAGCATGTGCACATTAATCTAAGTATTGGCATTTCAGTACAGTTAACGCTTGCAAATGTGATATGCTATGTAGATTCACTTAAGATTCAAAGAGCTTTGTAATTTACTTACCGTCAAAGCTTGACAGCAGTAAGACAAACGACGATTTAACTTTCCATTGTTAACCAGATATGCTTAATTAAATGTTATTCGTGCCGTTTTTACATTTAATGCATTTGATTTCATTGCATTTACATTTATCAAAATCTTTGCACTTTCAGTTTGTTGCTTCCTGTACAAAACGATCATTATACTGCTAACATAGTTACTTTATACACACCCATAATCACAATACACAGAGTCAGAAGAAGCAAAGAGACATTTTTTTATTTTAAAGCAAAAAGAACAAAATTAATTCTTTCCTCCCCCAAAAAAGGAGAACAAACCATAAGGAAAAAAGTGAAACCGCACAATACCTTTTGCATTAATTTTTTTTTTAAATTTAAAATTCCAATATATAATATTTAACTGTTTTTTTGTGATTTAGTGATATTTACTTGTCATTAAACATTTTGCAGAAACATTCTGGAACACATAAAGGGAGGGAAGGTGGAGCTTAGCTCTAGAAGCAATGATGTCACAATAGTCACAATCCAATCAGGGGGAGGCACGAAAGAGACAAGTGTGTGTGGTGAGGCGTTGTACAACATATGGGCGTTTCGAGTAAGAACACTCTAATCCGCACATCCTACATCTCTTTTTTTTTCCCCTTCCATTTTTTTACGTCTGGTTTCTCTCGGTAGTGAATAAATTCGAAGGAGAAGTGCTTTGACTTATTAAATGGCGCATCAGTTCAGAAGCAGGAGTCTGTCGCCTACTTTTCCAGTAGATCAGACAGAGAAGTGTGTGAGTGTGTGTCTGGGTGAAAGAGAGAGAAAGATGCTATTCTAGTCTACTTTATTCCACCACTCTCCTGTAAAAGTACAGGTAGCCCAGGTCCTTAGGTGGTTTCTCAGAGGCACAAACTTTCTGATCGTTAAAGATTACCCACCTGAAAGAAACAAAGACAGACACTGGATATAAAATCACTGAGAAGAAAATTAATTCTGAGAAGATATTGCATTACAAGAGCTGCATATGAATAATAATAGAGGGATTGGAGTCCTCTGATGGAGAGAGAACTTTACTCACTGTTGGTCCTTCTTGATGTGGCAGACATAATGACCACACATTGTGCTCGATCCCATGTGACTGATGAACGCAAAAAGCTCATACTCTTCAGGATAAAAGCATGGGAAAAATATGAATCATTAGAAGAGAGCATAATATTTAAGAAAAAATATTTAATAAATGCCACACAAACACACTTACTTCCTGGTCCATCACGGACACGTGGTCCTGGAGGAGGTTCCCGACTGGCTTCACTTCCTCCCTCTGAGCGTCCACCCTCAGACACATCCATGGACTCCAGATCATCCAGATGAGAGAAGATCCAGTCCACAGCACGCTCTAGAACATTATTCTACAAACACAGAAATTGATAAAATATGGGCTTGAATGTCTTAAAAGAAAGTGATAACAAATGGCCTGTGAAAGAAAGTGCAAAGCATTCATAACATACTGACGGTTTTATTTTCTGTTCACTTTATTTGAGGTTTGCAATTTTTGTAACCTATTACCAAAATTTAAGACCCCGATTTGTGTGATTTTGTGTGCGTTTCTATTTTAAACATGAAAGACACGCATCACACACATGACCAGCGTCAGCCAATAGTGAGCCTATGGTGTGACGTACAACACAGAAGCGCTGCGCTGTTACACTACGTGAACTCACTCGAGGCCCACAGAGAAGGAAATAAATAGTTGAATAAAGTCGTTATTTTTGTTTGTTTTTTTGCGCACAAAAAGTATTTTCGTCGCTTGATAAACTTAAGATTGAGCCACTGTAGTCACTTGGACTATTTTAACGATGTCCGAAAACCAGTCTCTGGTGTGACCACCATTTGCCTCACGCAGTGCAACACATCTCCTTCGCATAGAGTTGATCAGGTTGTTGATTGTGGCCTGTGGAATGTTGGTCCACTCCTCTACAATGGCTGTGTGAAGTTGCTGGATATTGACAGGACCTGGAACACGCTGTCGTATACGCCGATCCAGAGCATCCCAAACATGCTCAATGGGTGACATGTCCGGTGAGTATGCTGGCCTTGCAAGAACTCGGATGTTTTCAGCTTCCAGGAATTGTGTAGAGATCCTTGCAACATGGGGCCGTGCATTATCATGCTGCAACATGAGGTGATGGTCATGGATGAATGGCACAACAAAGGGCCTCAGGATCTCGTCACGGTATCTCTGTGCATTCAAAATGCCATCAATAAAATTCACCTGTGTTCGTTGTCCATAACATACGCCTGCCCATACAATAACCCCACCGCCACCATGGGCCAATCGATCCACACCATTGACATCAGCAAACCGCTCACCCACATGACGCCATACACGCTGTCTGCCATCTGCCCTGTACAGTGAAAACCAGGATAAAAAATGAAGGGAACACCTCTCCAAAGTGCCAGACACCATCGAATGTGAGCATTTGCCCACTCAAGTCGGTCACGACGACGAATTGCAGTCAGGACGAGACCCCAATGAGGACGACGAGCATGCAGATGAGCTTCCCTGAGACGGTTTCTGACAGTTTGTGCAGAAATTCTTTGGTTAAGAAAACCGATTGTTGCAGCAGCTGTCCGGGTGGCTGGTCTCAGACGATCTTGGAGGTGAAGATGCTGGATGTGGAGGTCCAGGGCTGGTGTGGTTACACGTGGTCTGCGGTTGTGAGGCCGGTTGGATGTACTGCCAAATTCTCTGAAACGCCTTTGGAGACGGCTTATGGTAGAGAAATTAACACTCAATTCAAGGGCAACAGCTCTGGTGGACATTTCTGCAGTCAGCATGCCAATTGCACGCTCCCTCAAAACTTGCGACATCTGTGGCATTGTGCTGTGTGATAAAACTGCACATTTTAGAGTGGCCTTTTATTGTGGCCAGCCTAAGGCACACCTGTGCAATAATCATGCTGTCTAATCAGCATTTTGATATGCCACAACTGTGAGGTGGATGGATTATCTCGGCAAAGGAGAAGTGCTCACTAACACAGATTTAGACAGATTTGTGAACAATATTTGAGAGAAATAGGCCTTTTGTGTACATAGAAAAAGTCTTAGATCTTTGAGTTCAGCTCATGAAAAATGGGGGCAAAAACAAGTGTTGCGTTTATAATTTTGTTCAGTATATATCCATAGAAAGCTTGAAATATCAACTGAAATGAACCACTTAAAATGGAAAATAAATATTCTCAGATTATGTAATAATCCTTATGAAACGTGCATATATGCATCTAGGCTCGTCCACTACTGCGGAGATGGTATCAGAGTCATAATACACACTTATAATCATTACGTTTGCCGGTGTGCTGTGGCACGCATTATGCATGCGATTCAGCGCTGATTAGTAATATATAGGCAATTAAAGGCTTGTTATTACGATTTATGGATTATTAATATAAACGCGTAATTAGAGCTCCCCGTTCACAGTAACCGGGTCGTCTCAGTCAAAACAGTTAGCTGTTGCTGTCAGCGAGCCGCCGCACATGAATACTCATATGAGTCAGGCTGCGAATGTAAGTTACGTGCCCGCCCCAGCACGCTCACGCTTACTAATAAACGCCTCGCCTCCGGCACCGCGCCATTCCCTTTAGCACATCTAGTGGATGCATAACGCAAACCCAGTCAAACGTTTGACTGCAGTATCTTATGCACCTTATAATATGAAAAATGTTCTAAAATAGGTCATTCATTGAAGGTGCGCCTTATAATCCGGTGCGCCTTATAGTGCGGAAAATACGGTACTGTCTTTGACTATTTTTCATCAAATAAATGCAGCCTTGGTGAGCATAAACATTAAAAAAAATATTTTTAAAATGTAACCACCCCCAAACTTTTGTGCGTAGTGTATTGTTGTATATTATTAATTGTTCAGTACAATATAGAAGTAGCTTTTAAATTAGATGACTGAATTTCTTTTTGTTGTGAAAACTATTAAAAAGATTAAATATTTCTTACAGTAACTAAAGCCCCTTTAACATGGAGCGTTGATCCCAGAAAACTGCCATAGAATTGCTAGAGTGCCTTCTGTGTGAACAGAAACACGTCCTAGGATTGATCGTGGGATGGAGACCTAGTAACATTGCTGGGATCAGTCCCGGAACGTGCCCTGTGTGAACAAAAGGCAGGACCAATGCCCTAAGGGTGCAACACTAGCTAACGCAATTTTGACGCATACATTACACGTCGCATCCAGATGTCACGTGTCTTTACGGGATGTGTGTGAACACATGCACAGATTCAAGAAAAAAATCACTGGCAGTGAATGAACCAAAATCAAACGATTCCAGGACAAATACCGGGACACATTATCAGTGTATTTTCCAGAATCTCTGTTTGAAAGGGGCTTAACAATACAGAAATATATATTTTCTAGGGGTGTCCCCGACTATGGATTTTCATAGTCGAATCAGAATAGTCAAGTGTGTGGGGGTGGGGCTGGGAGCGGGGCTTTAACATTTTAAAGCCGCGATGTACAGAACATCACACAAAGATATAGAAGAAAATGTATAAAAACATTTTTGGATCAATAAAACTAAGAAATAACACAAATAACTTCAGAAGGCCACACTGTAGATAGGATTTGCATTTCACATGCAAATCAAATTAAATCGGCTAAACTGCCTGGCGAGCAGGCTCTAAGTACAGCACAACAT